CTTATTAACTTGAGTGAGCTGTTTATTAAAATGTTTTGACACTTTTTTTAATTTGAATGAATTAGGTCAGCCAACAATGTAAACCTCAAATGACCCATCGATGATAGATAGATATATAAATACGACCCTCAACAGATGTATCTATTATAATAACCAACACGTCGACATGCATTAACCCTACACAATCAAAAATGATTGTTTACCATATACATTCTCATTTCTCATTCTTTTACGTGAGAAAACACCTCAAAGATGTTTCATAACAGGAAAATTAGCATTTAGTTTTAAAATATATATGGAAACTTGTAATACTTACATTTTTAACATATATGGTCGAAGGTCTTATCGAAGTGGTACTTCTCGAAGTCCGATTCGGCTCCAATTGTAAATATGCCAAGATCCTTAATCTCCTTCAACTTTAGGAGAGGTTCTGTTGGAAATCCAGCCCTTTTAATTCTTAGGGTCCTCTTGTCTGTCGTAGATGAAGGAGGTGTCGTCCTCCTAGATCGTCAGTAAGACACGGAAAGTTGGAACAAAGTCCCTCTTGTTGAACAGTGTTTGTTCCTCCAGAAGCTGGTTGATTACCCACTTTAAACGTCTCGACACTTGATAATTTAGGAGTAGCCCCCTAACAGAAATCTGAAATTCACTCTTATCGTTGTTAAAAAGTCCCCCGCCGTGATATTGCTGGAATATTGCTAAAAGCGGCGTAAAACTAAACTCAGTCAGTCAGTCAGTTAAAAAGTAACAGCAAAGCCATTATCATGAACTTGAGGAAACTGTTTTGTCTTTTTTGAAGAAATTTCTACCGAGGGGTTCATTTTATACAAAATGTTTATTCGTGGGTTGATCGAAGTGGGGCGTAAGTTCTAAACATTCTGATTAATCCAAAAGAACACACAAAAAATGCGCTGAGGGGTTGATTTGTTAGATATTACGTCAATTTTAATTTTCTCAAAATGTTGGAGGGGTGTGTAATAGTTCTTACTGAATCATATATGTTTCTATTCCTGTGCACGCCTTAAGTAGTAAAAACATATTTTTTGCAGTAACTCATGCACTTTCCTCTGGGTGTACGTGTGTGTGTGTGTGTGTGTGTGTGTGTGTGTGTGTGTGTGTGTAGGTGTCGAGAGGTGTTGAGTCAGAAGAAAATAAATAAATTTAGGAACATGCAGTGAGTGCAATCGAGCAACAATACCATTCTTCCTACGCCTCTGATCACACACACACGTATCAAGTGACCCTATTTACTTGAGACAAACAGATGTGAAATATGAACCATTGTTGTGTAGGTGTAGATCTAAGCCATATGGAACTTCTCTATCCCTGATCTATATGGGTCTACCAAGATTAAAACAGTTTCACCATCATCCACTTTAAAAGATGCCTATACGGATTTTCATGACAACTTATTTAGGGTTTGATACTGTCGCAATTAGGGGATAAAATTTAGTACAGAAGTAAACACTCTTCAACACGTTGACTGACACCACGAGTATACGAGTTCGTAATATCAATGTCTATTCAAATTTACCACTACGCGTTATCTCGATCGTAGCTGCATCAGCGGTATTTGAAAAAAAGGCCAGGTTTCACAAGCTTGGTAAAACAGGTACAAGAAGCAATCGTCTCCTGGCAGTAACAAAGAATGTCAGGAGATGTTTGTTTCTTGTGCCTATTTTGCCAGCATGTGAAACTTGTTTTCAAATACCGCTGATGCAGCTACGAGATAACTCGTAGTGGCAAACTCGACTAGAATTGCCACTACGAGTATACTCGTGAGACACAGTCAATGTGTTTAGACTATCGTCCAGGTCTAAGTTCATTACCCTCGCTATAACACACTCAATGTAATTTTTCAGAGAAATCTCGCGTGTGTGCGTTATAACGAGTCAAGTAGGGAATCATGTCACTGCGGGGGAATTCAGTGTTTTGGACTTTATGAAAATATTATGAAAGATTTTCATAGTAGGTCCTATGAAGAGCCCTGATTGTTTTTTTAAATTAGTAGTCTACAATTACATGAATATGTGTGATATTCATAAATCCCGACTAGTAGAAGACAAAATTATTCCCATAGCTTTTAGTTTGCATTTTTGACTGCTCTCTGAGTGTAAGTAATGTGGTAAATTATGTCACACACCATGTTCTCTCAGAGGGTGTAAAATAGCGACGACCTTCCACTATGACTAGTTCTTACAGCAGAAACACGTAGACAAGAAATGACTAGGGGGGCGGGCATGTGTTTCTTTTCCTGTGCACGCCTTAGTAAAAACATATCTTGCAATAACTCATGCACTTTCCTGTGTGCACGTGTATATATATATATATATGTGTGTGTGTGTGTGTAGGCAGGGGCGGATACAGCTTTTTGAGATAGGGGGGTGCACACTATTGAGAAAAGGGAGGGTGCACGCTTCATTTTCACCCGAGTTTCAATGGTCATTTAATAAAATTTCAGGACAAAAGTGGGGTGCGCACCCCTGCACCCCCCACCCCCCTCTGGATCCGCCTATGTGTGTAGGTGTCTAGATGTGTAGGAAAGCTGAGTCAGATGTAATATGCAATCGTGCAACAATAGCATTTGTACATTTCCGATATCCCATGTATGTACCAAGTGACACTATTTTTGGCCTACCTTTAGAATACAGCACCACAAACTTTAAAAATACGTCATAATACCCTTTTACGTAATGTAATGTGATTTTGTTCGAAAGCAATGTTATTTTTTTAACAACAGATGAAATTCACACCATCTGGATGTCATAGTTGTGTAGGCGATCTCATGTATACCGTTGCTTCATTACCCTCACTATAACACACCCTGTGAAATTTCCAGAGCATGAACTGGCAAACCTCGCCTCCGTGCGTTATGAAGAGTGAGGCAATAGGGCCCGTAAGTCTCGCGAGGCGCTACTTCCGCTACTAGATTTCCGGTGACATGCGAATACGCAAGAACCAGAGGCGTGTTCAGAACCGCGGGCGCTTGGTTACAATAAACCATTCGTGACCAACTCATGTTGTTCCGGGACAAACCGAATAGCTTCTTTATTATTTTCTTAAGGGTGAAATACTGTAAATATTGGTGAAAATAAAAATGGTTTTGTGATTTTCACTGAGTAGAATATCACTTTTGCCTGGAACTACGAAACGCGAACTACGAAATCGATGTCTCGATCATTTATAAACAATGATCAAAATAAAATAAATAGAATATTTTGCTAATGTCAATGGTTACGCAACTCGTGAACATATCAACTTTTTCAGACCACTCGATGACATATACATGTTATTTGACAACATTAACAAAATTTCCTCCATGTCTTCTTTTGGGGGGTTACGGGAAGGGGCGAGTGGTGACGAATGACATTAAACATGATCGCCATCTTGGTTCGCTTGGCGAGGCAGCTGTCAGAATGGTTCGCGTGCGCGCGCGGGCGCTCGAGCGGGCACAGGCGTTCAGGATCGAGCGCTCGCTAGCGTTCGCGGGCACTCGCGGTTCTGAACACGCCTCAGTTGTGGTGCCAAATTGCGCGACCGCCTAATATGACCTTACTAGACCGGACCAAGTGTACTACCGTGCTTGGCTGTCACAGCTGGTGACAGTCGTAATAATTGGATCATTTGGGGACGATAAGATCGAAAAATTATTATTCCTTCAAGGATTATCGGTTCCTTACTGACAACCGACAACCATGAGTCAATTCGAAAACATATGAGTACCTTTCTTTAGCTATAATATAATTTTGACAACCAGTGCAGTTCTATCGCTAAACGTGTTTCTTTTCAGTATCGCGGACAGTGTTTGTCACAAAACATATTTCGGGAATCAATGACATGGTTAACGTAAAATGCATGGAGTAATCTGTATTTATATTGAATTAATAAAACTATTAATTAATATACTGCTATTCATAAAACAGCCATGTGTTACCAACTTTATCAAGTTGATGTTCTATTCATATTTGGCCACATTGACTCTGTCATTTCCCTTTTCAATTAAAGTATGTAATTCCAAATTAGAATATTTTTGTTTGTTTAATTTGTTATTTATTTTCTAAATACATTTGTTATGCTGCAGCAATATTTCGTAACTATTCCAAATTAAAAACTATTTTTTACATATTCGATATATTTATATTTGTTAGGAACTATTTGAGATCAAATTAAAAACTATTTTTTTACATATCAATATTGATATGTAAAAATAGTTTTAAATTAAAAAACACTTCGCTCTACCACCATGTATAGTGTAATAAAACACACTTTTGCCCTGTGTTTTATTACACTATACATGGTGGTAGGGCGAAGTGTATTTCTTTTCTAAGATGCCAAATTTAATACTTTCTAAAGATAATTACGATTAATTTAAGGCAGAAAACAAACGACGGTGTCGGTGACCTAAATTAAGAATCCTCGCACAGGGCTAACTGGCGCGCTGTTCTATTGATGTGTCTGTTGATGACGGTTTACGTTCGGATTAAATATCTTCTCTGAATTATTTTAATTACATCTGTCATTAACGTAAACCATATGGGGCAATATGAACGTAGCATTTCTACTACCAGCGTAAGTTTAGATCAGTACATCCAGAGGAAGTTGAGTAGTCAAGCGACATTCCACAATTGCATTGTGGGAATGTAAACATTACGAACGTTACCGTGTCGCTGAAAACTTGTGAGTCGAAATGACACATTTTAACCGTCGTAAAACATAAACGTAATGTTTCCACCAGTGATGTTAGCTGCGTGAAGCAACAGCAAACCAAGAAACTGGATGCAACGGTGTAGTTTACTGTAGGAGGCCGTACGAGGCGATGACAACTGACATGCATCGTGACGTCGCTTACATTGTGACGTAATGTAAAATGGTTCGATTACGAGGGGGGCACACTAGAATGGCGCAGTGACGTGATAACGTCATTCAATTGTTACGTCATCAAAAAACTAAACCTTTATTGTCAGGCTAGCTATTCTCGAAACTTCGTAAGTCCTACGAACTTCTTAAGCCCATTCTCAACACATTGGCTACGATCAAAGTTAAGAATTCTTAGGGCTACGAACGTTTCGAGAATAATAATGTATTTTTTTTTCGATTGTTCTAACCGCTAGGCATCTTAGAATTTGGAATAGTCACAAAATATTCAATAGAGACAATTGGCTTTATGCAATGTAAAAAATGCATGTGTATAAATACTTGAGGTACTTATATAAATACTTTGTAAACTAGTTGGTAGACTTAATAATTTTACTCTCTTCCAAGTCCAAGGGATGATTGTATGCAAGTTCAGGTGACAGAATGACTCAAAGATACAAGAAATAATTGTTTTGTTTTGTTTTGCAAATGTGAAAGAAAATGCATTATCAATTTACTTTGGATAGATGACAGGGATCTGCATGTGTCAAATTGTTTCTTTGCCATGCTGTAAATATACTGATAATGATATATTGAATACAGGGATTGGGATGGAGACCTTCGACAATTTCAGGATTATTAGCCATTTTCTGAATTTAGAATGGGCCACTGCCCTTGTATCAATAGTAAACTTCAAAATTTTAATGGGGCATTTTTATTCTAATGTGCAAAATGGCCCCTGTCTTTCCAAATGCCTGGAATAAATAGCAGTTCTTGTAACATTATAATTTTTTTAATAAATATATGAACTTTCCCATTTATGGTGACGTTTTTATTCACACAAGAAGTCATAGTATCACAAATCAATCAACAGTTTGACAAATTAACCTTGATGGCATGGTTACAATTATTTCGGTTACTACTGTCAGATATTCAAAACAAAAATGTGAAAACCCTCAGCCTTATGAATATTCATCATGAAACAATTATTTATCAAATTATGTAAACATCATTTTAGAGGTGATATATAAAAACTGGTTGTTGGACAATATTTTATTACACTTTGTACTAGATGTCTTGGAGTGAGTGAACTATGTACTATGATCTAAAGTACATGAGTGTTACTTAGTTCTTGGTTATGCAGGGGTGAGGTTCTGCTATGCTGTAAGCAAAATATGAAGCAGCACACAGCACCTTCAAGTCACAATTGGCCAAAATGCAAGACCAAATACACTCAAAATATGGAGTAATCACTCAGACATTTTTCTGTATTGTAAAATATACTGATCAATACATGGGAAACTAAATGTGCATATATACTATGTCATGACGTAGATTCTGCAGACACTGGCTGATAGCAGCATGAGTATGATTACTTGTCATGTAATATAGTGTTTTTCACCCATTTTAAGTAACTTATATATTCCAAATATTCTGCCAATGAGGCCAAGGTTGGTAACTGGCATTCAATATTTTCCACTATACAGTTAGACCAATATGTTTTAAATAATGGAAAAGAATAATGTGTACTGGTTATTGTGCTGTGAACCAGTGTTGTAATCTTACAGCAAACAAAAACAAAGAATTTCATATTTCAACAAAATGCCATGTCATGTAGAATCACATGCCTATGCCATTGATTAAGTTTAACTTTTCATTGGTAAGCATGTTTTTTCATGGAAACTGGAGTAGTAGGGTAACCTAGTGGTTAAACTGTTGACACTTGTCACACTGAAGGCCCGGGTTTGATTCCCCACATGTGTGCAAAGTGTGAAGCCCATTGCTGCTCTCCCCAGCAGGATGTTGCTGGAATATTGCTAAAAGCGGTGTAAAACCCAACTCTCTCACTTGGAAACCTTTGCTATATACACTGAAAATCTAATCTCCTACATCCATCGTTGTATATTTACTGTCAAATCAATATAATGGCTAAAAGCAGAAATCTTCCAAACCATTCAGTTGTGCTTGCTTTATCCACACTTAAAAAACAATAAACAAGTTTTAGAACTATTCTGCAATTTTATTCCAAAGAAATAATTACTCATAACATATCAAACATTCTTTGCATTTCCCAGATGCTAAACCTGAAAAAATACTGTAACAGTATCATCTGGAATACAAATGTTCTTTCATGGTCACTCATCTAAATTCTCACTGAATTATCTGAGAGTCCCAAGATGTCACAAGACTTTCCACAACACCTTGCTGGTTACAAGCATTTCCTGTTCCAGCAAGTGTCCAAAGGATGATGTGTAGGGCTTTAATATGTTTCATAACTGTATATACAACACTTCAATGACTTGCTGTTTCTTCATTTGCAATGTACTAGTATATTGCTTGACCACCAGATGTTAAAAGAAATCTGAAGATCTGTTTCAGTTTGTGTTGCTCTTGATGTCAATGGTAATTGTGGTGATAAAGAAATCTATTCCTCCTTCTTTCTCCTCTTAAAGATGTGCATCTGTTCCAACTGAAAAAAATACACAACACGTGAGACCAAGTATGATATACTTAATAAAATGTAAACAGTTCCTTACAATGATGACATCAAGATATTATTGATAAATTAAGCATGTGGATGTTATGTTTAACTGAACATGCTGCACCATAACCAAATGCTAAATGGGGTTGTAATAATATATTAATCAAGCTCATATTACAGAATACATTTGTGAGACACACCTATTCAGTGTTTCAGAGCTATTGGTATCAATCAAAGTGTGGATATAATCATCATTGTTTACACGCTATTAAATTATTATTTAATTCATTACATTTATTTTTTTAGAATTACACCTGGATTTTCATTGCACATTAAGTTATCTTCTGGATAATTCCAACTGCAAGATACTTTATTGACACAGTTTTTTGGGTACACATGCATTATACCTGATACCTGCCTGCCATATTTTATTAGGTCCCCTCTCCGGGGGACAATAAAATCCCACTGTAAGATATCAAATGCAATCAAACGATTCACCAATCTGCACACATGTCAACTCCACCCTTACTGTGCGTGCCATGCTTAAACAATACCAGCCTTTAAATGAAAACAAAGAAATCCATGTAACAAACTTACCTCGACTAATGTCAGCCTGAAGACGACGCTGTGACAACTCTGCATCTGTTTGGCAAATATTCACGTGCTATTCATGCAGCATTGCCATAGTGCTTTAGCAGTCCATGGTCTGTTACATGGCATAGGTTTCTGATTCACACAGCCAGTGTCGAGTATGATTATCCACGGCATACCCCATGTAACAGTGTTATCGCCATTGCCGAAAAACGTTGTTTGTCACCGGAAGTAGCGATATCCAGCCAGGGGAGATAACCGAAACAACTCCACTCGTAAGCACAAAAACATGGTCAGAAAAAGGTGTCAAAACAGGGGGGTGCTTTTACGCGCATTTGTAACGTTGCCTCTGATTGTACAAAGAATACAAATGCACCAATGGAAAGACGGATAACAAAGCTAGAGACACCTTTTTTCATAGTTTGACAAATGTGACGTCAAATGTTGACTTTGTGAAGGTGAAAACTTCCGACGTGTAAAAAACATATTTATGCAAAGCGCACATGTCTATAAAAAATCTCATAGGTAGACGAATTATCAAGCTTCAATCTGCACTATTAATTGTATTTTTTGAACAACGTGTTCATGTCGAAATAAAAATGAAAAGGACCCCACCGTCTATACCGGAAGTAACTTTCCCTAGCGATCAAGTGACAGACAGAGCCTGCCAGCTGAGATCGTGTTTGTCTGCAAGCGTTGAAATATCGTCTTTCTACGAAATAGGTGAGTGACAACATTTTTCATGCTTGCAGTATGATGTATCCTGAACTAATGAACGAATATACACCATTTATTACCGCCGATCAATCCAATTTTAATATATACTTGGCCTAAATAAAGTGCACACTGGGTTGACATATTTTTGTGTGAAATTGACATGGTTATCAAAAATGAAATACTACTGACAGTGAATGACAGTAAACGTGATTGTGTGTTACTGTTAGTATATACAACTTAGCAACATTTGGCAGTTGACCATGGCAACATCTTTTGTATTATCTCTGTTTTCAGTTACATTCCAGTTGCAAAATTCCTTCACATTTTAAGTTATATAAAAATTACCATTGTTGATGAAATAACAATAATATATAATCAATTATTTACTGTTTAAGCTTGGGGCCATTAAATTGTCACGATCTAATTTGTGCCATATTGTTAAGAAAATATATTAATTTTTATTTTCCTTAATTTTCAGGACCAGGCCTGACCAACTGAAGAGAAGAAGCCAGACTACTTATGTTTTGCAAAGTGACAGAGATTGGTCGCTATTGTTTCTTCAGATTTTATTATTATCATGCAACTTGACCTGTATGCTGTTTTTGTGATTTATTTTAAGCAGTTATACCTGCCATATATTGACAGTTTGTGATAGAGTTGAAAGCGCAGGACTGGATAGCGCTCATTCAAAGAAAATGTTTCTTCCTCATATGTTGTGCATTGATCTGCATTGATCTTTGCCAAAATGGATTCATAAGTCCCAGGATCATGAAATAACTTGCAACTGAAACTGTATTTGTTGGAAACTATTTGCTTAAGTATTTATGATCATATTCAAAAGACACCTAGACCACGGCCTCTAATATAAATATCAGATATGGTATATAATGTTATTAAGGCTTAGCTAAGATTTGTTCATGCTCCCTGGGCCAGGTTTAGTTTCAACCCTGTGATATATATTTTTTGTATTATGTAGGAGTTTCTAGAACCTTATTTATTCATTTGTTGTGGTACATACGCTGTCTGTAGAAAGGAGCAAGATGTCCCTATTTTACTTGAATTTTACTTATTTTGACTCCAGAGACTTTGGTTAACATGAAACTTGCCTTGTATGCATGTATTGTCATTTTCTAGTCATTAATACATGTCATACATGGCCAAATTGTAATGGTAATTAAACAGCAGAAATGGGCACCACTGTCAGCGACAGATTTTGCTGTTGAATGTGTTAGATATATCACTTTTATTGCAAAAATAGATAGACATGATGCCAATAAACAACTACAATGCATACAAGTATTTTTCAGAACTGTAGAATTATTTTTGAAAATACCCTAGCCAATATATGGCTGGAAAGAAATGCGGTAACTTTTTATGGAGCAGGTGTGTTTGAATGCTAATAACATTTTTATTTTATTTTTCTGCGTTAAAAACAAAGTATTTTGATAGCGTAACCTTTGCTCTAGCCCCACATAACTTTCATGTTAATTGTACGGATAAAACTCTAGATATTCTTCAAAATACATTTACATACATTTGTATCTCATGACCTTCAAATTTCAAGGTCGAGCATATTTTTATAAACATTGTAAAATATGCTTTTTTAACTTTATTGTCACTTTTGGGGGATATAAAGACGTGTTATCACATAACAATGACTATGTATGCTTATTTTGATGATGTTTTACTCATGTTTAGACATTATTCATGAAAACTTTGTGAAAAGTTTAAAAACGATTTATACGGGGCTACTCTTACGGGATCAGATTTTCATATTGTATGTGGTAAATATATGTCTATTATCACCAAAATGGATAGACAAGATACCAATACAGAGATAGAATACTTAAACATATTTTTCTTAAGTGCAGAAATATTTTTAAAATGTTCCTAACCCAAAAAAATGGCTGAAAAAAGAAATTCATTTTAATAAAAAAATTTGGTATGAAAATCAAAGTGTTTTGTTGTTATTGAAACTTAACTCTAGCAACACACCAAATTTGGTTGAAAAATTCCTATTAATAAAAAATGAGTGATTATGCCTACCGGAAGTTCTAAACTATGTAATCTCTCGCGAAGTGCCGTGACCTACTTACGGGCCCTATTTTCACCATTGAGGGAGAATTCAGTGTTTTGGACTTTATGAAATATAGACTTAGTCTGTCTTAGTCCAAAAAAAATTACTGAAGAGCTCTGACTGTGTTTTAAAATTAGTAATCTACAATTAGTTGAATATTTGTAATATTCATAGTTCCGGACAAGTAGAAAACAAAACTACAACCCTAGCGGCTAGTTCGAATTATTGACTGCTCCTTTGTGTCATTTGATTCAATATATATGGCAGGTGTGGGTTTCTATCCGTCAGTCTGCCGACATGCCAACCGGCGAAGGCGACTTCCAAAGCATCTAACTCAACAACAACAACATCTATCCGTCGTCATCACTTGACTGCAGGACATAATTCAAGTCGAAGAGTGTAGATGACTACCAAAGAGGTATGTGTCTTTTTATGATTGATTAATGATGAGAGGAACTAACAAAATGAGTATTTTAAGCGTTGGAATTCAAAAACCTTCGTGTGCAGTGTGCACACACATATCATGGGACCCTCTATTATCACGGTAGTTAGAAATGTTGTCGCCATCGGGATTATGAACATCTACTGACATTTAGCATTTTATATATATTTTCAGTTGACTGATGTTTAATGTGACACATGGTCGCAACTCGTTTAATACCATTGCGGCAATATTCCGATTGTCTCATTTGACCTGGAAATGGAAGCAACTCTCTATTATCGCGGTATTGCTATTTTCTTACTATGACACTCGGTACAAGCAGATGACACTGTGAAACGTTTACTAAGACAAGTAACGAATCTAAATAGTTTGATCATTTAAATTAATAATATTTAGGAATTTCATTCACATTAGTAATATCATCATGTTTTTAACCCAAACATCTGAAACTTCTATTCATTTGGATACAAGGTAACAATAACGTTACAAAATATTGTTTTTCCGGCTTAAAACGCACCATACAAGTTGCTGCCGTGTGCAGAGTGAAGTTGCATAAATACGTCACTTCCTGTTGTTGCTGGACTAGCGTTATAAATGAAAAGGAAGATATTTGTTTTGGGAAGTAGTGGCCAATATGTGTGGATGGCTATACAGGGGTGAGAAGAAGCAGCGAGAGCATATTACTCAATCACCTCTCCGCTGTGACCAAGCAGACGAGGTGAGCATAGCGAGCGAATGAATTCCACCTACTGTAAAGCAGGCTGGAATTATGATTATGGGGTTTCCACTGTGAAAGCGGACAACCAGCAGCATAGCGATTGAGAACTTCTCACCTCAAACAGGCCATACACACCATGATGTTTTAATTCATGAACAGTGAATAAAAGGTACAATGTATACATATTAAATTTCCTAGACTGCAATGTACACTCAATCAGATAACGGGAACAAGTGAGCACGGGAGGGTGGGCGGGTTAATAGCTGTGCTTGCGACAGGCGAAGTTCGGTGGTGACGCCGAGAAGTGAGGAAACTCACCGTTATCTGTCGCTGCGTGGTGTGATGGCGTAGCAACTGATGACGCCATCTGTGACGTAATGTTTATGCGGCTGCGTGCCAAGGTCATGTTTATAAACAAAGGCACGTGGTATGGCGACGCCAACAATAACACCATTTAGCGGTTAGCGCTAAATGCGATTATTACTGGACTAGCGTTATAAATGAAAAGGAAGATATTTGTTTTGGGAAGTAGTGGCCAATATGTGTGGATGGCTATACAGGGGTGAGAAGTAGCGAGCGCATATTATTACTCAATCACCTCTCCGCTGTGACCAAGCAGACGAGGTGAGCATAGCGAAGCGAATGAATTCCACCTACTGTAAAGCAGGCTGGAATTATGATTATGGGGTTTCCACTGTGAAAGCGGACAACCAGCAGCATAGCGATTGAGAACTTCTCACCTCAAACAGGCCACCGCGAAAAATCGCCGCCATCCACACAGTACGATATAGGTATTAGAAAACCGTGGATAGATCGAACAGCAGAAACAATCCAAAATTAGCTAAAAATTATGAAAAGCGTGTGCTCACTTATTGCCGTTATTTTAGCATTATCTGAGTTAGTTGGCAGTTAAAGCATTGATAATATTGTGCACGAAAGAGTCCATTGCACTGAGTGACAGGTGCACCCGTCAAGCCAAGTAATGTTCGAGCTACATTTAACTGGATCAATCTGATCGTGGCGGACGCTGATCCCATGTAGCTCTTCAATTCTGTAAGCCAGTCTTCGATTGAGCTTTTTGCGAAAAGTTCAAACTTTTAATGTTCCCAGCCGCCCGGCCCGCGCAACCGCGTGGCAACATGAACGACCACACCAACCTGGTGTCCGGCAGACGTAGCTTGGCATACAGCAAATCGTATAGGATGTCGTCGTACATGCACCTGGCGGACATTTGGCACAAGTCGTTTGAACCTAAATGGATCACGAGCCATTTGGGAGTGGTGTTACCCGCAGAAGCCAAGAGATTGTTAAGGGAAGATCGGAAGTGGCGCCATCGCCTCCACCTCGGACATGCCATTGTGTAGTGCCAAGACGTTGCAAATGTTGCTCCAAGCTCCCCCTCGCTCTGGCCATGTAGCTGTCGCCAATTACCCAGGCCACATCTGTAACATAGATCGGACAGCAGAAAAATTGCTACAACAACGTAATTAATAGAAGCCAAGCTAGTAAATATTAACTAGATTAAGTTAATTATTTGTGAGTATTTTATTAGAACCTAATATAGCCTTGGTATGCGCGAGATGACCATCTACCATAATGCTGAATTATACTTTCATCCAAACCATTAATCGCCGCAGTTGTAGCAGCGCCTATTCTGAAAGAATGTGAGGTATACTGGGTCACGTCATAACCGACATGTGAAAGCGACTTATTGAGAATCGCCTGAAATTGATAGCGCGTTAGTGACGAGCCATCAAAATGGACAAAAAGCTGTGAGGTAGTGCATGGTCTGGACCTGAGATACCCAGCGAGAGCGCTAACAGGGCATAGTTCTGAGACAATAGGAGAAATTGAAAGCACTGTTCCTCTACCGAACTGGTCAGTTTTCGAAAACCTTATGCGCAATGTTAATCCCCGGTCGGAAAGTGAAACATCATTAATTTGCAGTGAAGTTTTTGAATCATCGGCCTGTGAACTGCAAACCAACTCGCTGATCCTAAGGAAACCAAAAAAGGCTACGGTAAATGCTGATTTAAACATCTGAGCTTCGTAAGAAGAGCTGCAGATAACAGGCAAAGCATTGACGATTAGCTGAAGAATAGGGAAAATGATGGGCTTTCGTATGTCCCGTTTAATTTTAATTTTATGCATTCCGATGATGGCTTTTCTAACCAGGAAATGTTCACAGTGATTGATAAAGTTATTTAGTTTATGCCAGGTGGATAAGGCTGAAATGTAGGCCCTTACAGTACGAGGTGATTTACCTTGAATTGACATGTAGCCTATGAATTGCAGAAGCTGGTCTAAGCAAATGGGCCCGTCTAGTTGTAGGCTAAACGCGCGCCTAAAATATTGGAGACATTGTAGTGCCGTGATATATGTGCGTCTTGTGTTGCGAGAGATAAAGAGGACGAGATTAGTCTACGAGATTCTGTCATACAATCTCCCAAATGTCTTTTGGTAAGCTGCTCTGTGTCTGGAGCCACGTGTTGAAATCTCTGCCACTGAAAGCGCAAAAGAGCGTCAGCTATAGCGTTATCATGCGTGCTAATGTACTTGGAGTGGAATATTATGTTGTGCTGCAAGGAGAGTAAGACTAAGCACCTAACTAACGCCATGACATTCTTGTTTTTGGATGATTGTTTGTTGATGATATGTACGACAGCTTGGTTGTCACATGTGAACATAACTTTTTTGTTGCTCAGACGATTTCCCCTCATTTTTAACACCACCACAATAGGAAATAATTCAAGGAGTATCATATCCTTGGTATAGCCTTTTTGTATCCATGTTTGAGGCCAGGAAGCACATGTCCAGCTGCCCTGGAAATACGCCCCGAAGCCGTGTGTGCTAGATGCATCTGTGAAGAGCTGTAAGTGTTGACCAGTAAGCCAAATAGAATCATGAAACACAGATACACCATTGTAGTGCTGCAGGAACTGTAACCATACTTGCAGGTCTTGTTTCATACCGTTAGTGAGTCTTATTTGATGATTGGGATGGACTTTTCTGCAAAGAGCATCGGTCAAGCGTCTACAAAAGGCCCTCCCGCACCTAACTGCGCGACACACAAAATACAGCTTACATAATAGGGATTGTAACTGGTGAACTTTTAGTTTACGCTTTTGTGACTGCAGTAAGGTTACAATTTCCTGACACAACTGATTGATTTTTTCTGGTGGTATTCTAATCTCCATAGAAACGGTGTCTATGGTTAGGCCCAGGAAAGTGATGGTCGTGGTTGGTTGAACTGTTTTTTCTTGTGCTATGGGAATGCCGAATTGTTGAAAAAGCTGAATGCTTGAATCTAACAGGTATTTACATTTACCTGATTGGGCTCGACCTCCCATTAGGAAATCATCTAGATAGTGCATGATGGATGTATTTGGTTATGCACCACTGCAAGAAACGGCTAAATGTTTCAAACAAGGCGCATGATATAGAACAGCCGAAAGGGAGACATTTGTCAAAATAATAATTTCCCTGAAAGTACATACCTAACAGGTGGAAATCCTCCGGACGCACTGGGAGCAAACGAAAAGCTGACTGAACATCGAATTTTGCTAATTGAGCGCCCTTGCCTAAACGCTGAACTAAACTTACCGCCTCATCGAACCGTGTGTACAGAACAGAGCAAAATTCCGCGGAAATTCCATCGGTGACGGACGATCCCCGGGGATGGGAGAGATGGTGTATAAGACGGTAGCTATCCGTGATTGTGGAGACATTTGATGCGTCAGATTTCTTTTTGACTAAACCAACGGGAGATACCTTGAGGTTTTGAATCGGGCGTGAGGGGAAAAGCCCGGCAATGCGACCAAGAGAGATTTCTTTCTGTAGCTTTATACTTACAATATCAGGAAGTTGCCTCGCTGATCTAAGGTTGGGAGCGTCGTTAGGAATGAACGAACCAGAGAACTGTAAATTAAAACCTGAGGTAAAACCTACCTGTAATAGATCAGCGTCTTTGGGGCATACGGCATAGTACGCAGCGATCCATGGAATTAGTGTGTTATATTTTATGGGTACCGGAGCTAACAACATTGGCTGTTGGAGGCAAGCTGGCCCTGTTTCGGAGCTGCACTTGTGCATTGTTTGTTGTTTTGGTACGAAAAGAATTGCATTGCCGGGCACCGTGGTTTGAACTTTTGCATTTGGAACATTTGTGGGGATACTTGCTCGATATTCTTGAACACTGGGAAAGATTAAAATCCCAGCAGACTTGTTTATCAGTCACTGCGGTGACTGACTAGCAGTGCTAGTCTTTGTATCTTTATCTTTAGGAGTATAGTACTGCCTACCCTGAACCATGTAACGGAGCCACAGATCGCCATCGATGGCTCCCCAGGAACGCGTGGGATCTCTAGCCATTTTATGGCGGAAATAGTAATCATAGGTGTACCACGAGTCATTACCGTACTTGTATGCAGCGCCCCGAACTGCGTCGACGTATCCTAACAGCTCTTGAACCGTACCTGGGTGTTTTTGCAGGTAAATACTCATAAAAATGTGGAAGGCCGTAGTCCAGGAGGCAATAGTGAGGGGTTTAGAAGATTGCTTACCTGCCGGTTTAAACATGACCTGACCTGACTGGTTATAAACCATTTGTAAAGGGACATCGTCCTCCTGGGCAAAGTTTTGAGAAGGAAGTAGTGTCTGGAAGTCTACTTAACTCGCCGTTCCATATTTTTGCCTTACAGAATTTTTAACGTGAGCTCCGACGTGGTCTGTTTGGTAAGAAAGTGGGGCAAACCCGCATTAACTGCTGTGGCATCGGACACCTGGCTGTTTGGGGAAGGCTTAGCTGTGAAGTTCCCCACCGAAGCTAGATTAGAAAGCCATTGTAGCGTGGCTCGAATGCTTGATGCAGAAGGAACTGTGCATGCAGCTATATCTGGATTAAACACAGTGCGCGCTGGCTGCCTACCGCTTGCTGAAACACAGAGTGCGCTGCGTCTGCAGCCGGGCTGTACTGCCGTGGTTTGGAGTAACGGTAGCGTTAGGGACGGTGCTGCTAACAGTAAGTTTGGATCTATATGAATGGGATTGTTAATTCCCTGATGTAAACCAGAACCCAAGCTAAACCTACCTTGCGCTTGAGCGCTCCGAGGGGATCTAAGGTCGGTCCTTGAATGTCCACCAGCAGGCTTTCTGTGCCGACTCCACTACTGTCCCGTGTTGTCCTGCGTGCTTCTTTCCAGCTGCAGGTTGCGGGACTATCCTGTGCTGTAACGCTGCTCTTCTTTTTGGGGGTCCCATTTCAGTTTGGCGGTGACGTTAGGTTGTTTAGCGGTGAATAGCTGTGCGCGACGACAGGCGAGTTCGGTGGTGACGTGAGAAGTGAGGAAACTCACCGTTATCTGTTCGCGTGGTGTGATGACGTAGCAACTGATGACGTCATCTGTGACGTAATATTTTTAGCACGAAAAATACGCAAATGACCTTATAGTTGTCGCAGGAATGCTTTTGATGAAGTAAGTTTTGATTCATGCTAGATGTAATGGGAGTAGGGGTCATGCTAGTTTCAAAATGTTCTAGAACTTACTGAAAAGATGAATGCTTTAATATTTCTCCGATTACACAAAACATTACAATGAAATAAATGACTTTTTCAAGAGGATGAATATAGTTTACGTAATTTGCATATGTAAACAGCCGATGCGGGCATGGTGTTTCTGCTTTCCCGATGTTTTCGCGTGCCGCGTTTATGTCTGATATCTTCCAAAAATGTATGTACAAGTTGAGAAATGTACCTTGATGGTCCAAAGATAAGTGTGTTAACCAATGCTAGCATCATGAGAGGTTTAGTGTATTGATACACATTATATTGTACATTCTCTTTCAGCATGTTTCAGCACTGTGATCATCACCTTGACTCGCAACCTCTTGCAGACAATACTGTTTTCTTCAAGATTTACTGATCATGGTATCAGGTTTGATGCATGCTAAAACAAAAATGACAGTACACTCACAACGATGATATGTTAACAAATATTGTTTATTACTATTATCTATATGTATTAACATAGGATTACATTATGGTTGTTTATCACTAACTAAACACTTTTACAAAGATTCCAAGTTTCTAGGGTTTCCAGGTATGCCAAGCCCAGGTTTGCGTTTTATGTACAGTCTTTTCGCACTCTGGTGTTCTGAGGTTTTACTGTAATTCCTCAAGAGATGTTTGGGCACACGTAAACTTACAAGTAATTTACGAAACTCCTTATAGCCAGTTGGTCTCAGAACCAAGAATAGAATATCGAATCAACTTTGTGAGGTTTGAATCTTTCAACACGTTTCCATTTGGCAACACAATTTCTAAATTATCCGTCACTGTCATGTTGCCTGTGTCGACTTTATGTTTGACAAATAGAAACAGAGACATTACTTTTCCTATAGTTCTCTTAGATTTAATGTTCTTCAGAAGATGATCAAGTACTGTAAACAAAAAGTCACTGCTGTTGTTGACAGGTTTCCGGTTCCCATCACATACATCGTTCCTTGAGGCAATGTTGCCTGTCGATTCATTCGCTGTCTGAGGAGGAAGAGGAGGCACTGTCGTCTGATGTTCCGGATTCCTCTCCTGACTCGCTGTCGCTGTCTCCATCATCGATGACTTGTTGTCTTCCTGTTTGGACATCAGGCTGTTGTACGTGTCCCTCGACAGGAGCATCATGCCTTGGCCATGACGAGTCAGCGACAGGTAAGCCAGTAAAATTCTTATGCACACACACAAAACTGTATGATGTGAGACCAGTAGCTGACGTTTCTCACGACTTCTCACCGTCTTGCTCGCTAGAGTCCTTATGAGCTTTTTGTATCGTCGCAGTTGAATTTTATCAGGATCGGAGATGGGTATGATACCGCGTAGGATGATATATATCATTGTGATAATAGCTTTGAATTGTTCACCAGAAAGATGTGTCAGCAAAGCTTTCCTTTGCTTGGTGTTTTTCCACGAGCTCGCTCATGATGTAGGATTTGAAACAATCGTGGTTCAGATGTCACGGGTGAATTTTTACTCCGTTCAATCACAAAATAGATTGTACCTCCCCAACGATTCGGAATGTTGATACATCGAGTTTTGACAACACCTTAAAGCTCGTCGATAGCTTGTGACTTTGCTGGTATACCACTTTTCACACTGAAGCAAACTACTCTCCGACGATGTTGTTGGTGTGTAAGCCACTGCGATATTCCTTCTTATCCATACTCGAATCACAAACTGATTCTTTATTCAAGATGTGTTCTGCTATATAGCTATTTTGGTAAATACACTGTGCACACATCTCCAGGAAATATCCCTGTTCGTAAACGACCGTAGCGCTCGTCGGCATAGGGAGATGCATCGATGAGTAGATAGTTGTATTTCTTCCCCTCTATGGCATCTTTCAACGATTCCTGAAATACTTGGATTGTCCGGGGAACATTTGAGAAGCCAAGATTTTGTATTCGTGAGCTGACCTTGGATTAGAGAGAAGAATGAAATAATGAGTGTTTAAGGACATGGTTCTGTTGCATTCGCCTTTGGGATAAGCCGACTGTTGAATATTGATCACCGTGATGCCTAAATGATGAGAGAGAGTAGTATACAGGTGCAACATGAGTTGATTCTTACATATCTGCATCATTAAATCATCAAAACCAGCAACACATGTTTTTCCGACTGAACAGACCAGGATCTCAGTTCATCTTCTGTGGGAAGTGTGTCGTGAAACTGAATGTTGGGGTTGTAATGTTGCATGTCACTGTACACATCTTGCCAAACTGCATAGCAATACACGATCAAGTTAGGCGGTGGTTGAAACATGTCCTTGGTGTGTTTCAACATCTGTTTTACCAAATGGGTTTTGCCAGATGAACTTCCTCCTATGATAGAGGGGGCGGTGGGGTAGTCTAGTGGTTAAAGCGTTGTCTCGTCACGCCGAAGACCCGGGTTCGAATCCCCACATGGGTACAATATGTGAAGCCCATTTCTGGTGTCCCCCGCCATGATATTGCTGGAATATTGCTAAAAGCGGCGTAAAACCAAACTCAGTCAGTCAGTCCTCCTATGATAGATATACTTGTAGGTGTTGGAAACCGTACCGTACCAATGTCCTGAGACAACTGAACTCATCGTGGTCCGTGCACATGGACTTATACCATGTGTTTTCATTCACAACATAAAGCTATTTTTCTAGTCTAATTTTGTTATTATTATTATTATTGATGTTTTCCACGAGTACAACATATATTCAATACTATAATGGACAGAATTCAGTACTGTGTCATGAACAGCATTTGGAACACTAAACAACATTCACTAATATTACATATATGTCTGATTAGTACATGATAAACACGAATCTGCACAATATCTGAAATAGTGACAAATAAATGTGGATACGTATTCATCATTGATGAAATGATCATTCCTATGAAACTGCCGTACAATATCATTCAGGCGTAAATCGGCTTTGAATTTACATAAAAGATAGTGCAATGTAAACAGACCACACATATTCGATTTTGAAGATTGTAATTGTCTTGTATTGCGAGTGTAGCAACTACTATTTTCATACTTCATATAGTGATCAAATACCCTATCTACGGGCTGCTCCGCCAAACTTGTCAAAAAATTCGGTTTGGCTCCCTTTGAAAAACATCGCAATCCAGTGGCGACCCTCGTGTAAACGGTTCTCGGTGTTGACAATTAGTCCAACGCCTTTAGCACGCATGCTCGGCGTGAGCACAGGTAAAGAGTCTTTAGCAAAAACACCTAGGACACGAGATCGTAAACTCGGGTTGGACAGAAGGAAATATGTTTTCGTTTTTAGCTTGGGTTAGAGCGCCCGAATACACCCGTCGCTATGCGTATATGCACGTGGGTTTTAAAATCTCGTGCATTTCGTGGGGATAGCTGACGACAGCGTTAATCAGTTTAACATCGGCAGTTAGTCAGACATATTGCTAAGGGACACGGTCGTCCATATCGAGCTCCAGCCAGGAGTTACAAATTACTTAGTAGATTGCTTCCATTATCGGGAAGCCTAGAAGCTTAGTTAACATTCACACTTTCGGTGAATGTACAGCGGGGATTTTCATTGGGTTTACTGTTTTGTTTCGGTTTTGGTGTATTAAATGTTCAGACATAATTATTTTGACTTTTCGCTTATTTTATAAATGGGGAATACTTAACTGCCTCATTCCCATATGGTAGCAGAGCGTGGTTTCAAGCGTAAATTAATTAATCAATGGTAAGTCAATTAATCAGTTATGTCTGACATACAGGAAAAAGGCTCTGTAAAAATGGTCAGTTCAAACCCCAAGAACCAAACGGGTCTCAGTCACAACTTGAGGGCATTTTGAAACTGAAACAACAAAACCAATGCAAAGTCAGCCTTCACCAAAGCTAAAAATAAGTTGTACAGTCTACTAGAATCACTTAATCAACCATCTCGCATACAGACATAAGAGATGGTGTAGATAAAGTAAATGAAAGTCAGGTGAAAGCAATCAATGTTATGACAAAACTGGCCTTAGCGTATGCAAAGAATCAGCAGGGTGAAAATGTTACTAAAACTGAAAAAGAAATTAGTCATCTGGAAGATGAAACTAATGCTGTAGTTGAACAGGCTCAAGCTCACTTAGATAGTAATGCAGATGCAACGTCTACGTCAAGTAAGGGACTTTCTAGATTGTTTAAATCTCAGCAACAATCTGCAGAAGGTGAACCAAGTGTTCATAACAAACCAACTAATAAACATTGTGTTCAAAGCACACCACAGAAAAGCACACCTTGTTATGAAGCAGAGTCGCACAGTCATGCAATAGGAACTGATTTATGGAAACAACTTAAACGTGTTTCAATCCCAGTATTTTCTGGTGATGTAAAATCTTACTTAAAGTTGGAAAGCTTCGTCGCTTCTGACATGCATAGACCAAGCACCAGCGACTGCTGAATATAAGTTATTGCAGCTGAGGCAATATCTGGCTGGTGACGCTGAAAGCAATTCAAGGTTTGGGACATAGTGCTTTGGCCTATGATACTGCTGCTAGAAACGCCTAGATAGGAAGTATGGTGGTAGGAGGCGCAAGTAGCGCTACAGTTAGAAGAAGTGACTAATTTGAAGCCTATTCGGCCCAGGCTCTGCTAGAGATGTTCAAAGATTTGCCGATGTCTTGGACATTGCAGTCGTTAGTCTGAGAGAAGCAGATAGAGTAGAAGAGCTAGGTAATGGGTTATTGTATGCCACACTACAAAAGAAAATGACTGAATCTATGGTAGCTCAGTACCAAAGGTGGCTTCATGATAGAGATAGACAAGAGTCAGTCGAGACGTTAAGAGAATGGGTACTTTCAGGAAGCTGAATACCAAACAATAGCTGCAGAGACAATACATGGTGTTTCTGATAAGAGTAAAGAAAAGAATCGTGCTCGTTTGTCAGTGAGATACCGACAAAGTAGAAGGTCACATCGGGATGTTGTATGCAAAGTTTGTGGTGAACAGCATGTGTTATGGAAATGTAATGTGTTCAAAAACATGAGCGCTTTCCGAGATGGAACACTGCTAAGAAATTGAAATTATGTTTCCGCTGTCTTGGTGGCAATCATCGGTGCACAATGTAGATACACATATAGGTGTGGGATCAATGGGTGTTCAAAACCCATAATAGGCTTTTACATGATGACACATTCAAAATAGACATTGCACAAACGCATCTGGACTTGGAAAATGGTTCAGTTGTGAATAGGGAAAATACTCAGGTAAGTTCTGAAGCAAAAGGTCATGATCAGGGTATTTTGAAAGAGCACATGCGACTATGCCATGGGAAAATGACCAACCTCGATAGCCCTTAGGACAGTCCCAGTAGTGCTGAAGAACGGAAATAGAAGGATTCGTGGTTAACGCATTGTTGGATGATGCAAGTACTAGGTCATATATCAATGCTGATGTGGCTTCAGAATTAGGGATGCAGGGGTCAATAGAGCAGATATCTGTGAGTGTCTTGAATGGTAAGAAAGAATCATTTGAGACAAGGCCTGTTACATTTGAAATTGAAAGTGAAGATGGTAGAGTGAATGTGGAAATGTCTGCACCACTACTTACTAGGGTTACAGGTGACCTTCAGGTAATTGACTGGCAGAAGTACAGACACAAATGGAATCACTTAGAAAACATAAGCTTTCCTAAAGTTGGGAGACGCCCAATAATTGATCTCCTGATAGGTATTGACAATTTGCATCTGCATCAGTCATATGAAGATGTTTGTGGGGGACACAGGTGATCCTATTGCAAGGAGAACGCCTTGGATGGACATGCATAGGCAATCTAAACAGTCAGGCTACTCTCCCAAACACACTGTGCATATACATATCATGCGCACAGCAACGACAGTGAATTATGCTCACTGGTGAAATCATTTGGGAAATTGAAGAGTTTCAGACTCCTCTCAAAACCCTTAAACCAGATGATGAGCAAGCTCTTCACAAAGCACACGATACCTTAGTTTATGAGAATAACCAATATCAGATTGGTATCCCATGGAAGGATGGTCCAGCATTGCCAAATGACTATGATATGGCACTGTGAGGTTGCTTAGCACTGAAAAGAAATTATCCAAAGACAAGAACACAGCACTAGCTTATGACAAAAATCATCTCAAGAATATGTTGAGAAAGGATACA